GACGAGATCTTCCCATCTCGCGAAATTAAACGCGTTCCGTATGTCTATTGCTACCAACGCGCTGAAGCTCTTCTTTTTATCTGGTCCCAATTTGTTTTTCCCTTCTCTGGCGAGGTCCACAACTGCCTTTACGGCATCAACTGTGGACCGACCTTTGCGGAATCCAAATTGGTTATCGGATAGACTATTCTCTCCGGTCAAGTGAGATTGCATTCTCTGCAGAACCATGTCCTCTAGAAGTTTGCCCATCGTATCCAACAGGCATATAGGCCTGTAGGATGAGACCTTATCTAGAGGTTTGTCTCCCTTTCTTAGGAGGACCAGCCTTTGCCTCTTCCAGTCTGGAAAGAACTCTCCTCTCTTTAGGCAGCGATTGAAGATGTGCAGCAAAATCTGGGGGGAAGCAACAATCACCTCTTTTGGGATCTTGTTGCTTATCCCATCGATTCCAGGCGCCTTGCCTGTCTTCAATCTTCTACCTGCTGCTTCCAATTCTTCAAGAGTAAAGAGTTCTTCCTCTGTGACTATGCAAGAACTCCAGTCCTTCCTAAGCCACGGCTCTGCAGGAGGAAACAGGGCTTTTATTACCGGGGGTCTTTTGCCTCGTTACTAATTTCGTGGTGCCGTAATTTTCCCCAAATCTCAAATGTCATAATATTCATTTGACATAAAACCAGTTGACATAACCAATATTTGTCATAATTTTACTTTAGCATAAATTTTAATTGACATACTAATTATTCAGCATAATTCGCATTTGACAGAATGTTTATTTAGTATAAGTTATATTCGGTATAACTTTCAATTGTCAAAATTTTTATTTGGCAGAATATACATTTGTCATAATCTTTATTTGACATAATTTTTATTGATCATAATTTTAATTTGGCATAATTATCATTCATCATAAAATGTATTTGATATAATGTTCATTCGTCATAACTACTTTTTGACATAATATTTATTGGTAATAATTCTTAACTGGTATAACGCTAATTTAACATAATGACTATTGGACATAATGCTCATTTTTCATAATTCTTAATAATCATAACTGTCATTTGTAATAATCACTGTTTGATATAATGTTTATTATTAATAATCAGCAATTGACATAACGCTTATTTAGTATAATGTGTATTTGACATAATGTTCATTTGTCATAATTTGCATTTCACAAAATGCTCATTTGTCATAATTCTTATTAGTCATAACTTTCATTTGTCATAATTTTTATTTGGCATAATTATCATTTAGTATAAAATATATTTGATATAATGTTTATTCGTCACATCGATTGTTTAATATAATTTTCATTTATAATAATTCTTAATTGGCATAAATTCAATTTAACATAATTGTTTTTTGATATAATGTTAATTTGTCATAATTTACAATTCTCATAATGCTCATTTGTCATAATTCTTATTAGTCATAACTGTTATTTGTCATAATTACTGATTGACATAATGTTAACTTTTTATAATAAGCACTTGACATAATGTTTATTTCGCATAATTTAAGTTTGACATAATGTTCATTAGACATAATTTTAATTTGACATAATGTTCATTGTTCATAATTTTTATTTGTCATAATTATCATGCAGTATAAAATGTACTTGATATGATGCTCATTTGTCATAACTATTTTATGACATAATGTTTATTTGTAATAATTTTTAATTGGTATAACACTAAATTAGTATAATGTGTATTTGACATACTGTTCATTTGTCATAATTTTCATTTGACATAATTCCCATTTGTCATAACTTTATGTGTCAACGATTTTTTGCTGTATCTTCCCATCCTTGGTTTTTTAATTAGTAGTTTGTATATGTTGGTAAAGTAGATTAGGTGGCGCTGTCTAATATTTCTGAAATTAATTCTATCTTGCTTTTAAATATGAAAAATTACTTTTTTTTCCAAGTTACAATTTTAATATTGTACAATTCAATTACATTTTTTTTAAAATAATATGACAATTCATATTAATAATGATGATAATAAATTAGTATAATGTGTATTTGACATACTGTTCATTTGTCATAATTTTCATTTGACATAATTCCCATTTGTCATAACTTTATGTGTCAACGATTTTTTGCTGTATCTTCCCATCCTTGGTTCTTTAATTAGTAGTGTGTATATGTTGGTAAAGTAGATTAGGTGGCGCTGTGTAATATTTCTGAAATTAATTCTATCTTGCTTTTAAATATGAAAATTACAATTTTAATATTGTACAATTTTTTAATGTCATCATTATTAATATGAATTGTCATATTATTTAAAAAAAAATGTAATTGAATTGTACAATATTAAAATTGTAACTTGGAAAAAAAAGTAATTTTTTTATATTTAAAAGCAAGATAGAATTAATTTCAGAAATATTAGACAGCGCCACCTAATCTACTTTACCAACATATACAAACTACTAATTAAAAAACCAAGGATGGGAAGATACAGCAAAAAATCGTTGACACATAAAGTTATGACAAATGGGAATTATGTCAAATGAAAATTATGACAAATGAACAGTATGTCAAATACACATTATACTAATTTAGTGTTATACCAATTAAAAATTATTACAAATAAACATTATGTCATAAAATAGTTATGACAAATGAGCATTATATCAAGTACATTTTATACTGCATGATAATTATGACAAATAAAAATTATGAACAATGAACATTATGTCAAATTAAAATTATGTCTAATGAACATTATGTCAAACTTAAATTATGCGAAATAAACATTATGTCAAGTGCTTATTATAAAAAGTTAACATTATGTCAATCAGTAATTATGACAAATAACAGTTATGACTAATAAGAATTATGACAAATGAGCATTATGAGAATTGTAAATTATGACAAATTAACATTATATCAAAAAACAATTATGTTAAATTGAATTTATGCCAATTAAGAATTATTATAAATGAAAATTATATTAAACAATCGATGTGACGAATAAACATTATATCAAATATATTTTATACTAAATGATAATTATGCCAAATAAAAATTATGACAAATGAAAGTTATGACTAATAAGAATTATGACAAATGAGCATTTTGTGAAATGCAAATTATGACAAATGAACATTATGTCAAATACACATTATACTAAATAAGCGTTATGTCAATTGCTGATTATTAATAATAAACATTATATCAAACAGTGATTATTACAAATGACAGTTATGATTATTAAGAATTATGAAAAATGAGCATTATGTCCAATAGTCATTATGTTAAATTAGCGTTATACCAGTTAAGAATTATTACCAATAAATATTATGTCAAAAAGTAGTTATGACGAATGAACATTATATCAAATACATTTTATGATGAATGATAATTATGCCAAATTAAAATTATGATCAATAAAAATTATGTCAAATAAAGATTATGACAAATGTATATTCTGCCAAATAAAAATTTTAACAATTGAAAGTTATACCGAATATAACTTATACTAAATAAACATTCTGTCAAATGCAAATTATGCTGAATAATTAGTATGTCAATTAAAATTTATGCTAAAGTAAAATTATGACAAATATTGGTTATGTCAACTGGTTTTATGTCAAATGAATATTATGACATTTGAGATTTGGGGAAAATTACGGCACCACCTAATTTCTTAGTAACGATTTTAAAAGCCTTTGTGACGCGGCATTGATACATCACAAGCGTTGATGATAATGTTCCTCACCGCTCGGACCTCTTTCTCCAGATTGTTCGTCCTCTTCACCCAGCCCAAGTCTTTAATGAGACAGGCTTCTTCAAGGGACCGGACGAACTTCTCCTTGTCGAGTCTCTTAGTGTACCACGAGGGGCTTTTTCGACTAGGGGCTTCCTGTCTTCTGCCTCCTCGTGTGTCTCCCACTGAGACTCGATGAACTGGTGGTCAATTGCGTAATAATCTTCAGAGACCCGCCAGTCGCATATGCGGCTAAATATTTAGGAGGATGCGATCGTTAGATCTATAATGGATCCGATCGCATCTCTCCTAAACGTCCATGTTCTTCCCCGGTTTACAACTACTAGGTCGTTCCTGGAGATCATTTCGCCGATCAGAATTCCTCTTTTATCGAGCCTCGTCTCGCCCCACTCTGGGAATTGAATTGAAATAGGAATGTACATTCCTGTGTGGATTTGGATTCATATGATAATTCCGACTTAATTTCATATTCATATTCCTGTTCCAATTACGTATACGATTTTGTATAGCTTCCTATAAAGGAGCCTATGTGGGTTCCTATATAGGAGCCTATGTGGGGATTTTCAGTAGGAATGTCCATAGTATAGTTCTGTTTTATATAATTAACTGTGTTGTTAATGTAAAATTATGTTTGATTAAAATCGTTTTAAACTTGGTATTAAACCAGGTGTGAAATAATAATAAGAATTTGAAGTGAATAATATATTGATAATTGTAGTTAGATACTACCGACTCCTTTCGGTCACATGTCTAGCATTAACAAATTAATCCAAATGCATCGCAAATACAAATAACTATATTTTAAGTTAATTGGAGAATTATTAAATTATTGCCGGACTTCAACTTAATGGTTTAAACCATAGTTTCCATCTTGTCTGAGTGAGTACATTTTTTTCTGTTTTTTAATTTGAAGAAGAGAAGAGAAAGAAAAAGAGGTAAAAGGAAGGGGGAAAGAGAAGAGAAATGAGATAAGGGTTGATTTTGTTAACAAGATAGCGTGTTAAGCTTGGATATGCCTCTCCTTCTTTTTTTTCTTTATGCTGGGTAAATAAGGGAATTGAGCAGTGAGTCTCTTGTAATTATTAATCACTAAGTCTTTGTGTGCTTTTAATTTTTGGGCCTTATTAGCAAATTAAGATTTGTTTTGAAAAGTTGGCTTAATTAGTTTGATTATTAATTAGTAATTGATATCTTGGTATTGGGTGTGAAAATAGGGCTAAATTATCTCTCTATATTGTGGTTATTTTGCTTACTTGAAATTTTTTTATCTTGATCCTGTTTAACACGAGTAAGATGGAGTCCCTGTTTGAGTTTCAAATTCTTTATTTTTTTTCGCGCGAGTATTTCCAGCGCCACCAGGCGTTCACTTTATGTATTTTTCAATATGGCGAATATAACAATTCTAATAGAACGCATCTTTTTTATTATACCTAAATTTTTTGTGTAAATCCAGCTTAAAATTATCAACATGGTCCTTCGTAACGGATATTTTGTGTAAAAAGTCAATTGGACTTTAATGTGTGGTTTTTGTGAACAAAAAGTCTTTACAAAGTGAACAAAATAAACTCGAAAAATTGTGTGATCAAAAGGCACATGTTTTCTAATCGCATAGTGTATCGTTGAATTTTCTATTATGTGGTGTCGTTACAAAGGCACAAAAAGAAGCATTTTATGAACAATTTACAATTGCAATTTGATATTTTGAACAAAAGTGTCTGTAGACCAACCACAAAATACAAGTTCGTTTATAATAAATCGCCGTATTCAACATCGCCACGAGGTCTAGACTGTAGAGAAAAGCCATTCTCGTTTGTTTGTGAACAAATTGTTTATTCATCGATTAAAACTACTAAAATTTATTTTTGCTGAGAATCTACGTCGATCAACCTTGGCTTTATCGTGATATCATTGGGCCCTGGAACAAGAAGGGCAATATTTCGTTTATGTCAAGCATCCAAGCCGTCTCGACAATACTTGCTATGGAAGGAGATCAGCGCCATTTGCAAAAAACAGGTCACGTGAGCATTCCAATTTCCCATTCCTTTATAGTTATTTCGTAAACTCTATTCAAAATGTCACTTAAAGTACACTTAATTAAAAATCGCGGTTCAAGAAAAATGAAATTAACAATATATACAAAATATTTAAATAATCTCGAAGAAATTTTCGCTGACAATGATGTTGCCTTGCTTGAAGTTAAAACAATTGAAATTAAAAATAGATTAAATGATATTCATGCATGTTTTTTTAGGTTATTAAAAGATTCAAGAGCAAATAGAAGAACTGACTGACAATGAGAATGACACAATAAATTATCGAGTAAAATTTATGAATCTGATTATTTTAAAGCCACGGCACAAGCAAATGCTTTTTTAGTTCGTGGAATGCCAGTTGCTCAGGTTCAACCACAAGGGGTTCCGTTTCGTCGAAGAACTTGTTTTTTCGGCAGATTCTTCTGATGTTAAGGTTTTGCATGTGGGCGTTCTACAGGGAGGGGTGTTATCGCCCCTGCTTTTTAACCTGGCTCTAAGTGTAATAGCCTCTGGCATTCCCTATAGAGTAAAATGGCTAATGTTTGCCGATGACCTCCTTTTGTATGTGAGAACCAAAGACGGTAAAGATGTGAAAGGTTTGCTTGAGGAAATTGTTGGGGCATTAATGCCTTGGCTCGCAGAGATTGGTATCGACATCGCTCCGGGCAAGTCACAATGAACTATTTTCTCCAAATCACGAGATAAATTCAATGATATATACCTAAAAATAGGAAATACTAGAATTAAGAATCAGGATGACTTGATCTATCTAGGGATTTACTTAGATCGCTGATTGACTTGGTCACTGCACATTAGGGGTATAGCTCAAAGGGCTTTTAGAGCCATTAATATCCTGAGAGTCATGTCAAAGATATCATTGTGAGCAAATCCTTCTTCAATGATTCTAATCTATAAGGGTTTAATCAGGGCACACCTGGAGTGGGGCTGTCAACTCTTCACAAATTGCAGTCGATCTAACTTGGACCTGCTAGATAAAATACAACTAACAGCGTTGCGTGCTATATAAGGTTGCATGAAATCAACCCCTATGGGCATCTTGCTTTCTGAGGTAAACGAATCACCACTGGCCCTGAGAAGCTTGATAATTGGCAAACGGCACATGCTCCGTAACATTGCTTGGTCTCTGAATCCTCTTGCTCCATAATTGCAATCGCTGTCTGAAAAATGTCTAACAGACAAGAGATATAGACGGGACACAGGCTAGATAAAGTTTTCATTGGTGGATACATATTGAGATATGACATGTATTACTAGGAAGGCATTTAGATCTAGGAAACCCTCAACTTTTGATATGACTTGGGAGGAGCTTTCTGGTTCCCTTGACATAGACGTTCATTCTGATCTTGAATTGAAGACTAATGCCCAACCTGATAGAGCTTTTAATCAATTAAGGGTACGGTCATACTATCTCATGCATGCACTGTGCATGCATGCAGAAACATTTGTCCGATCACACTTCAATGAAATGTAGTGAATGTTTAGTAACTTTCTTGGAATTTTATAAAAATTTTAGTTGTAACTAGAAATTAACTAAACATTTACTAGATTTCGTTGAAGTGTGACCGGCCAAATATTTCTGCATGCATGCACAGTTCATGCATGAGATAGTGTGACCGTACCCTGATGCAGCGGGACTTTTCAGAATTCATTCAGTGTTTTAGTTATGCTTCTCACCTTCTCTCTTCTTTTCTTCTTCACCTTCTCCTTCTGTTAATTTGGAATTTGGTGTTCGTATGAGTGGATTGATGTCGGTGGATTCATGTGAGGCATATACAATCTACTGAGCATTGAGGCACTCTCTACAAATGAAAATTGATAATACGCTCATCATTTCTGATTCCCGGAAAATTTTGCAAAAACTTGACGAAAGAATATTCAATAGAGATCCTCATCCTTTTATTAAAAAAATTCTTAAAGTAATTTTTGAGTTAAAGAACTTGGGTAGAAGGGTACGATTTCTATGGATACTGACGCATTTAGGGATCGAGGGGAATGAAAGGGCAGACTTTGTGACTAAAAAGTCATGGTACTTACCTTTTGGAAACTACTCAGGTACCCCCATTAAGACTTTTTTTTCTGTTTGAGCGAGAATTTGGGTCGTGGAAATCCCTAAATTGGCCATATGCTGACATACAGCACTCACGTAACAGATATTATACCAGGGTTAATTGCAAAACCAAAAGACCTTGGTTTAAAGGAATCCAAGCTCCACGCCGATACATCAATACTGTTACCAGGTTGCGGACCTCGCATATATGTACGGGGGAGAAATTTGCTAGAATACGGTGGACTCTTCTTTTGGGGTGTGAGTGTGGTCCGAAATATAAAAATCTCAAACACCTACTTACCTATTGTCTTATTCTCTTCATGGGGAGACCGGCTTTCTTTTCGTATCTAAATACCAAGATAACTGATTTCAATCCTGATAATTTTCATTTGGATAATCTGATTTTTAATCCAAATGTGGATACAGTTGTAGAGATTGGTAAATTTTTCCCTACTGGTAATATTGTTTTTTAAGAAGACTGAATTGAGATTTTTATTAATGGATTTTAATTTATACTTAGTTGAATTATTCGTGTTTTTTTAAATATTATTTCACTCTTTTCATTGAGTGTGTTAGTTATTAATTATTCTTATTTTTAAGACAGTAATGGATTAAACTAGATTTGGAGGAAAAAGGAGGAAGGAGAACGGTTAAAGGAAAAAGAAAATAATAATAAAGAAATTCACAATAAATATCGTTTTATTCTCATTTAATTTCTTGGTCTCACTTGGGTAGCGGGAACTTGGTTTTGAATTATTCAAATTTTCTCGCTCTCCCTCTCCCTTTAGCATATTGCACTGTGAGATTTACTAGAGGCTATGTACCTCGCTGTAACTGGTTTACATACTCATACCCGGATTTACATACTATTACCTGGAAATAAAATTCAGTACTGACTACCTGTATATACAAGAGGCCATTTAAACAAAAAAGAAGAAAAGATGATATGCACCTAGCTTTTATAGTAGGAAACTGAATCTTGCGTTTTTAGTAAGAACTTTTTCTACAAAAAAACAGAGATTTGAACGTTTTCAGTATGATTAGTGACTGTGCTAAAAAAGTATAGTATGTTTGCTTTCTTTGTACAAATATTCTGCTTCAATCGCAACAACGCTCCGCGAACGTAGTATGAAATTCATCGTACTACAGTTGCAGGAGATTCCTGCTTTTTCGGTATTAGCCTCTTGCAACTGACGATTAGGCTACGCCCTTAACGCACGAGTCGAATACCTACACATATATACATATATGCGTGTGTATTTAACTCGTGCATCGAATATTTCATTCTAAATTATAACAAATTAATATTATTGCCCGTAAATACAAATTCACGCAACAAATTACTATGTTTGTAAAATAATAACGAAAAAATATGTATTTAATCTAATTATCTATTTCACATTCAATGTATAATACCTTTAGAGGTTAGAACCAACTTTTCTAATATAAATTTGCAAGACCAAATTAGAATATATTTCAACTTGGTTAATTAACATAATATTATAATAATATTAAAAATGCTATATTCATTTTAATTATATAAATCTCTGAATATTAGTTAAACATACACGTAAAATGAAAGAGGCCCTATTGAAAAACCCTGTACAAGATCTTGTGCAAGAAAATGTACATGTTCAGCTTGCTGAACTTGTACCTGTTCTGGTAAGAACATGTACAAGATCTTGTACAATTTCGGCACCAGAATTTGGACCAAGTTCTTGTACGAGAACTTGTACAAGTAAATATATTTAATATTTGTATACAAGAAAATGTACATTTTCTTGTACATGTTCTTGTACAAGTTCATTAAAAAAAATTTGAGATTTTAATAATTTAGAATTATTAAAACCTTTTACTTAAGCATGTCAAAAATTATTGCGCAGGTGTAAAGTCCTAAGAAAACTACTGCACAGCCTTTAAAGTTTTTAATTTTTACTAAACGAAGACATAAATGAACCTGTCCGAGAAAATGTACATGTTCTTGTACATTTTCTTGTATAGAAAGATTAAATATATTTTGTACACGATCTTGTGCAAGATCTTGTACAAGTTCTAATACAAGAACTTGTTCCAAATTCTGGTGCGGAAATTCTACAAGATCTTGTACATGTTCTTACTAAAACAGGTACAAGTTCAGCTGCTGAACATATACATTTTCATGTACAAGATCTTGTACAGGGATTTTCAATAGGGGGACGTGGCCTAATCGTCAGTTGCAAGAGCCTCCCAGTAACAAAGGATTTTTTGAGATAGCAGTTCGGGCATTTGAGCAAGCCGTTTGCTAAATTGTCTAAAATGCATTCGGACAATTGGAGTGTTTGTTCAAATGTCCAATGCATTATGCCCAATCATTAAAAAAAAATAAAAAATTTGTTTTAACACTTTGTTATTAATAGCACAAAATTAAGCAAATAAATTTCATTCTAATTAACAGTAGAATGTTCAATAGGTCAAAAAATAGGTCTTTAAAACTTCTAAAAAAACTAAAGATAAACATTTATATAGATGCGTCAATATATTTTTTTTAAAAATTGGCAGAAGTCATTTTAAAAAAAATTTTAAATGTAACAAAAAGTTATCTTTAATAATATGGTTTAAAATACCCTCATAAGGATACTTTGAAATAATGAGCACATTATTTCTCAGCCTGTAAGACCTACAATTTAAAAAAAATTTTATTGCATTATTTCATTGTGATGGTCTGCTATAAAATTTTTGATATAAAACAAATTGTCATAAATGAGTTGTCCTTGAACATTATCATCATTATCATTTGTCAAATCTTCTCTCACAATAACATGTCAAGATCCTCTCGAAGATCCAGGAATATCTTCACTAGGTAAACCATCTCTTCCGGTAAATTGTCTGTATGTATCGGAATTGTCTACTAAAGATGAATGTTCTTCTTGATA